CCCTGTGGCGTTGAGCGAACTTAAGTCCAGAGCTGAGCCATCAGCGCAGCGCGGAAACATTTGAAAAATTTGATTTTATTAGATATTTTATTTTAAATATGACAAATAATTAACTTAATAAATAATTAATGTTATAAATAATTATTAATAACATAATGTCATACTTAATAATTCGTTAATTAATTATTTTTAACGAAAATTTGACAAAAAAAAAATTTGTTGGCCAAAAAAAATATTACCATTAAAAAATAATTTTTTTGTTAAATTTTCGTAGTAAAAAAAATTTTTTTAAGACAATTATTTGTGACCTAAAAAAATATCACGATGAGAATATAATTAACAAAAAAAATTACTCGTAGCACAGAAAAAATTTCACCATGAGAAAATAATTTTTTTAAAATTTTATTTGTAAAAAATTTATTGGTAGCTCAAAAAAAATATCACGATGAGAAAATAATTTTTTGTCAAATTTTCTCTGTAAATAAATTAATTAACTAAATAACGTACCGTAAAACGGGGTTATTTCGCTCATTGCGGGTAAATTCGCTCACCCACTTTTATGCTTTATTTCAGCTTTAAAATAAAGTTTAATACCTTTATTAGCAGGTAAAAATGTTAAATTTGTTAATAGAAATACTAAATTTTAGTTTTTAATCAAATTTAAAGCAAAAAAATGGGTGAGCGACTTTACCCGCACTGAGCGAAATAACCCTGTTTTATGGTAATTATTAGTTACTTAATTTTTTACTACGAAAATGTAACAAAAAAATATTTGTAGTACAAAAATAATATCAAGATGAGAATTTTAATTATTTTTAAATTTTCTCTGTAAAAAAAATATTTTGTGGCCTAAAAAAATTATCACGATAAGAAAATAACTTTTTTGTCAAATTTTCTCTCCAAAACAATTAATTCACTAAATACCGTAATAAATCGTTGTTTTTCTTACTACGAAAATTTACCAAAAATTTATTCGTAGCACAAAAGAATATCACAATGATAAAATAATAATTTTTTTTCAAATTTTCTTTGAAAAAAAGAATTCGTGTTTTTAAAAAAAATCACGATGAAAAATAATTTTGTTGTAAAAATTTCTCTGTAAAAAAATTTAACAAAAAAATTGTACGTAGCACAAAAAAATATTACGATGAGAAATTTACTTATTTTAAAATTTTCTCAGGAAAAAAATTATTTGTGGCCCAAATAAAATATTACCATTAAAAAATAATTTTTTTTGTCAAAATTTCTCTGTAAAAAAAATTAATTAAATAATTATATAATAATAAAATGTTTGGTCTGTCTTTCTGTCCTAACTTGAAGTTGGCCTTTTCTGATTTCACGTGTTTTTTTGAATAGTAATCTTATGACGTGTCAAATTTTGACAATTTTTTTCCAAATTTCGGAATAAGTTTCATTAAAATTCCAAATTCGAAAATTCAATTCACGAAGCTGAAGTACACAACGTTTACCAACGAAATTTTTTTTAAAGTTGTATATTAATTTAAAAATTGTATATTGATTCAAAAATTGTATACAAATACAAAAAATTTATGATGAGAAAAAAGATGCGCCAGGAAATTTCGTACAAGATAGTAATTTGAAAAAAAATTATTTTTAAGGTACCAGGGGCCAACGATTACCTATTAAATATTAATTATAAAAACACAGGCCTCGAATCAACTTAAAGACACAAAACAGTCGTTTTAGTCGATTTATATTCCAAAAAAAAGTGGATTTGTTTTTCATTTTAACAAAAATATTTTACAGATTTTTAAATAAAACTTTTTTTTTTAATAATAATCCTTTTCGAACGGTTAAAGTTGAAATTTTTAGAAATAATTAAATTTCAAAAGATATTGTTAATTTTCAAACAATTATTAAATTTTACAGAACTAAAAATAATTTATCAAACAATTTTTGGAAAACATTTTTTAAATTTAATTGAATTTTCAAAGATTTAAAATTGAGATTTTTGAAATTAATTGAAACTTTAAGTGTTTTGTAATTAAAATTTTAGATGATTTCACTAAAAATTTATTAGAAAATGCGGACAAAATACAATAATTTGAAAATCATTTTTAATTGAAAAATGGTTTCACATAGTTGAATTTTCAAAGAATATTATTAAAATAGTTAAAAATAATTGAATTTCCTTAGAGTTATAATTAAAAGTATTAAATTTAAAAAAAAAAAAATTTCGATGGAAAATTTTAGAAATTTTAGATGCTTTTAAATTCAAATTATTGAAAATTCAATTAATTTTGAATTCAAATTTTTGAGAATAATTAAATTTTATTTGATTTTAAATTTGGAAAATAATTGAATTTCAATTCATTTTGAATTGAAAATTTTGGGAAATAATTGAATTTTAATTGAAATTTTGGATAATAATTTAATTTAAGTTCATTTTTGATTGAAAATTTGGATAATTAATTTTGAATAGAAATTTTAGAAAATAATTGAATTTTATTTCATTTTAAATTGAAAACTTGGTAAATAATTAAATTTTAAATTGAAAATTTTGGATAATTATTGAATTTTAATTGATTTTGAATTAAAATTTCGGGTAATAATTGAATTTTAGTTTATTTTGAATTGAAATTTTTAAAAAATAATTCAATTTTATTGTGATATATTTTTTAAATTATAAACAATTGTTAAATTTCATAAAAATTTTAATTGAAAAATAATTTTGATATAATTGAATTTGTGATGTATTTAATTAAAATTATTAAAAATAATTAATTTAGTGAAGAATCATTTTAGTTCATTTGTTAAATAATTGAATTGAATAAGATCTGAAGAAGATCTACATTTTATACAAAAAAAATTTATTTTATTTACATTTCTTTCAAATGTAAAAAAAATGTCGCATTTTATTAAAATAAGTCGATAAAAGTCGTATTTTTGAAAAAAGTCGGAAAAAGTCGTATAATCCGAGGCCTGTAAACATATAATTTTCATTATTATCATTTAATATGTTATAATATTCTAATAAATTAAATTATTATTAATAATATTAATCTTTAATTTCTTTATAACAAATAATTAAATCCTCAATTTGGCGCGCTTGTGCGCGTTTAATTTTGCTAGTTACCTTGATAATTAGTTAATTAATTTTTTTACTACGAAAATTTAACCGGGTAATAAATGTATTAAACTTTATTTTAAAGCTGAAATAAACCATAAAAGTGGGTGAGCGAATTTACCCGCAATGAGCGAAATAACCCCGTTTTACGGTACGTTATTTAGTTAATTAATTTATTTACAGAGAAAATTTGACAAAAAATTATTTTCTCATCGTGATATTTTTTTTGAGCTACCAATAAATTTTTTACAAATAAAATTTTAAAAAAATTATTTTCTCATGGTGAAATTTTTTCTGTGCTACGAGTAATTTTTTTTGTTAATTATATTCTCATCGTGATATTTTTTTAGGTCACAAATAATTGTCTTAAAAAAATTTTTTTTACTACGAAAATTTAACAAAAAAATTATTTTTTAATGGTAATATTTTTTTTGGCCAACAAATTTTTTTTTTGTCAAATTTTCGTTAAAAATAATTAATTAACGAATTATTAAGTATGACATTATGTTATTAATAATTATTTATGACATTAATTATTTATTAAGTTAATTATTTGTCATATTTAAAATAAAATAAAATATCTAATAAAATCAAATTTTTCAAATGTTTCCGCGCTGCGCTGATGGCTCAGCTCTGGACTTAAGTTCGCTCAACGCCACAGGGAGGGCGAACATCATAACTGTTTCTCGCAGTTGAGGTGCCATTATATTGGTATATAAGCAGTGATCGAAAATTTTTTTTTTGTCGAAATTTTTTTCTGCCCGATGTCTCTCCTTTATTGGATTTGAGACAAATTCTTTTTTGGAAGAAATGGTTTCACTAATATTTTGATGACCACTTTTTTATTTTAATTAAAATATTAAAAATAAAATAATAATAATAACTATTAAAAAATAATAAAAATAAATTTTTTTTTAAATTATTATTAAAATTTTTAATATTGGATATTGGACTTACTAAATTACTAAATAAATAATATTAAAATAATTTTTGCAACATCGTAAACGACGTAGTAAACGACATCGTAAACGACGTAGTTTGCTATCCCAAATTCCGCTTTCATTTACGACGTCGTTTACTATGTCGTTTTCTACGTCGTTTACTACGTCGTTTACTACGTCGTTTACTACGTCGCAAACTACTTAGAATACGACGTCGTAAACGTGGTCGGAATTTTCAACTGGGATATATATATATATATATATATATATATATATATATATATATTATAAGCTGAAACATAACCCCTTTTCTAATTAAAAAAATTAAAATTTAATTTATATTGTACTCTTTTCATATATAAGAGTTGGTATGTTTTTATGTTAAAATGTATAAATAACTTTATTTTTAATGTAATTTATTGAATTATATATCTATTATCATTTGTGCTATTCACCACTTGCGACGCCTATGCAAAACAGCTTGCGTGGCGCTGCGAGTGTTTTGTGAGACGAATTGAGACGTCTCATACTTCAGCTACATTGATAAGTTGAAGGTTACATAAAGATTTTTAAATAATTCATCAGTTTGTAAAGTTTTGCCATGATTTGGGTATCCGATGAATTGTAGAGAAAAAATACAAAACTAAAAAATTAGTTATTACAACAACAATAACAAAATATAAATGGAAGTTATTAAAAATATTCTATTAGAAACTAAGAAAGAATTTTCAGTATTAAGCGATTAAAATTCGTATTTGGCTTAAAAAATACTATTTAACAATAATGAAAAATACAAGAGTGGAAATGAAGAATGAGACTTTCATATATAAATCAAATGACCTACGTGAAATCAACGATCGAAGTGTTTGCCATCAACTTTTGTGCCCAGCTTGTTGACAAAGATGAAAACATTGATGATTTTAATTTTAAAAAAAACATCATACGATGCAGAATATATTTTAAAAACGTACCATGGGAGGGAGGTGTCACAGTTCCGACACTCGTAGCTGTAGAAGTGCTTGTTGGACTGTCAGATCTCTCTGGACTTTTCCCATTCACTTGCTTTGTCCCATTTGTTCCCAACTGGTTTAAAGAACGTTGCTCTTGGGCTAGTTTTTGTTCCTTTTTCTTTAACAAAAAATAAAAATCAGTACATAAGTATATACACAAATCTTGCAAAGAAATTAGATTAAAGAATATCAACGAACAGTATGTGTCAGAGAATAATAAATTTCAAAAACCAATCCTTAAGGAAATAGTGCACTTTAATTAATATATTAATATATTAATATTATATAAGTGATAAAATTCCTGTAGCGTAGTAAATGAAAAAAAAGTTGATCGGATCGGGCTCTAACTTGCACATAGTTTAGCCCTAGAGGTGAATACTTTAACCACGAAGTATTGTTAGTGTTCAAAATTGCTCATTTTCTAATTGATACATTTTTATAATTATGACGCAATGCCGCGTTAATCTCAACACCAAAGTTAGGCATCGAATTTAACAGCTGATTAGCGGGAAATTCACACCAACGCATTCTCACTCTCCTAACTTTACACGGAAAAGCACAAATACACTCACCAAATCACCACGCGCGCAACACACACAACCAACGTGCGGTGTGTCCACTTTTCAGTAATCTCAAAAGCATTGTACCGGAACAGTATTTCTCACCGGCTATTTTGCGATTAACGAGCATTAATGAACTAAACATTAAATCAATTATTATTCTCATTAAATAAACTCAAATCGGTTTTTCTCAAAGTAATTATGTTCCCAAAATTATACTTAATATATTGGTAAAAACTCAACATAAATTTCCATTGTGCTTGACTACAGCGTGGTCAAGCCATTTTTACACTTGTGTCCTCAACTTCGTGTAATTTTATAATAAACTGAGAATTTTTGTAATTTTACATAAAGAGAATTTATTTCCTCCATTCACTCCTCATTAATAAAAGCGGCAAATCTCAAACAGTTAGGTTTTTTCAAAAACTGTAGGAGAGGGAGGGGGTTGATTTTTTTTGAAAAAGGACCCCGCACTAAATACATAGAAATTGGCTTACCGTTAAATTTGGCTATATTTTGAGAATTTTTAGTTAAAAGTGTTCTGATTGAAAAAAAAATTGTCCGGAGGTCACTGAATTAATTTTTTTAATTATAGTTTTTTATAATATTCGAAGAAACAAAGACTTTCGAACAAGTGATTTGCCCCCAAGTTCATTAGGCGCAGCGTTGTTTCGACATTTTTTTAGCTAAACTATTTATTCAGTGACCTCCGGACAATTTTTTTTTAATCAGGACACATTCAACTAAAAATTCTCAAAATATAGCCAAATTTAGTGCGGGGTCCTTTAAACAGTGAATTTTTGAAGACTTGTAACTTTTAAACAGAAAGATGAAGAAAAATTTGACCTATATGTTATCGAAAGGTTTTTTCCTGCTCTTTCGAATGGTACAAAAAAATTTTCAAAGAATTCAAAATTTAAACCTTTTTTTGAAAATTAAAAATTTTTTTGACTTTTTTTTCTGTTCGGTCTTTTTTATTTTTTTTTTTTTTTGAAACTAAAAATGTATATTTTCACCACAAAAAATCGACAGATAAAATTCTATAGGGGAGGATGGGAATATACCAAAAAAAAAATTTTTCATTCGGTCAGTTCCGTAGAAAACGAGATTAAAGTGTCAAAAAATCGTTTTTTTAGCACTTTTTGAAGCGTTGTAAAACAAAAACGCAACAAGATAAAAACCTTCACAAGGGCTTGAATGAAAGCTTAAACCTTCAACTTTGAGTCCCAAAACTGAAAAGTGCATGATAATTGCGTAGAAAATTTATTTAACATGAAATAATTATCTCAAATAGTCAAAGTAGTTGGGATAGAGAGCACTTGTTAAAAATCGATTTTCATTACCTAATTTATTTGGAACTTGTTACTTGGAAGTTTTCAACGTTTCTATTGACGTTTCGAAAGTTGTATTTAAAAAATTCAAAATGGCGAATTAAAAAAATCAAAAATTTCAAAAATGGAGTGAATTTTGTCGCAGTTTTTTCCTCGGGGTTTTTTGAAATATTTGAACGCCATTTTTAATTCGCCATTTTGAATTTTTTAAATCCAACTTTCGAAACGTCAATAGAAACGTTGAAAACTTCCAAGTAACAAGTTCCAAATAAATTAGGTAATGAAAATCGATTTTTAACAAGTGCTCTCTATCCCAACTATTTTGACTATTTGAGATAATTATTTCATGTTAAATAAATTTTCTACGCAATTATCATGCACTTTTCAGTTTTGGGACTCAAAGTTGAAGGTTTAAGCTTTCATTCAAGCCCTCGTGAAGGTTTTCATCTTATTGCGTTTTTGTTTTACAACGCTTCAAAAAGTGCTAAAAAAGCGATTTTTTGACACTTTAATCTCGTTTTCTACGGAACTGACCGAATGGAAAAATTTTTTTTTGGTATATTCTTGTTCAGTGCCACCTAAACTTTCAATAAACACAAAAAATTTTAAATAAACACGACTTGACCATTTTTTTGTAACCCAGTGTAATCGGTCATTACCTACCAATATAAGATTCTTCCTTTTTTTTTTATTTTTTCCTTTACATGAGAATATGATAACATTATTAAGATAATTCCATTTCATTGGGTTAAAATAAAATACCATTTCTGTGTGGATATTAATCTCACAAAATTGCAATTTATAATTACGGGTATATTCATGCTCAGTTTATTTGTTCTTGCTAGTGAAAGTTACTAATTAGTTTGTTTGTTTTGATTTGTATTTGTAATAAATACTTAATCATTTTGTAGTTTAAATTATCAATTATCAATTGTTGTGTTTATATGATGATGATTAAAGGAAAATAAATTTTAATTTGGGGATCTGGCATGGTCTAGGAATACGCTTATGAATTTGCTATTGTAGATAGTCTTGAAATATTTAAACTTCTTTTTTTTAAATTGTAATTTTTTTGTAGGTGCCATGAAACGTAATGGAAATACAAGCGGACCTGCTGACATTATCCCTGAAAGGGATGGACTGGCAGCCTCTAAGAATTTTCGTGGTCGGGTCAGAGGATTTAATCGAGAATCTTGTGAAACTCTCCCTGGGTCGGGTGATCAAGGAATGCGTATGTTAAATACGACGGTGGAGCGTCTTAAATTACGCTTAAATGAACCAGTGGGAGAAGGTACGATTTCGTCCATGGTACCCACTACGTCGAGAGCTTGTTTGGATCCTATGTTGAGGGGGATGCCTTCTCAATCCCAAAAGAGAACCGTCAGGGAAATGTTGTCCCAGTCTTCATCTTCTTCGCTGAATGTTACTAGTGACACTAATAGGGATTTGCAAATTAGAAAAAAATATCAAACTGAAGGCTCAGCATCGGTATTTCCTTATAACTATACTTCTAAATCCCCTACTTTCAATCGAATCATGGCGGGAATTACTAACGAGCGACTGTTAAGCGGTGGTTTTTTTTTCGGCTTCGGACCTCGAGTGGTCTCGCTCTCCCTCAACAGCCTCCTCATCTTCTAGCTGTTTGAGATATAGTTCATTCTCATCTTCTCCTTATGTTGTCCTAGTGGAAAGTATCCTACCTGACCATAATATTGAAAAGATGGATATATTGCGAATATCGAAAGGTTAGATGCTCTAGAGCGTTTGCGGAAAACTTCTCCACAATTATTTGAGTATGGTGTATGTAACCCTAATTCCCCGAATCATGGCTCTCGTGAGTTGAATAATAATAAGAACCATATTTTCCAATCTAAAGTTCAACATGAGAAGGCCAATGTTCTCGATTCAGATACAAATCATCATAATGAAGCAAAAAACTCTGCCTTTGGTGCAGAGGAGGAAATGAATCCTCAAGATCCTGACATTTTTCGAATGGATTTAGCATTGTCCGACTGTCTCTTGGTTGCGGATCGTCCTCTTGATGGTGGATTGAGTATTGATTTGGGGGAGAGTGTCTCTAACTTGGGTGAATTTTCAGCAGATCTGTGTGCATCAGATCAGCCAGGAAGGAATATGTCTACTCCTTATGGCTTGCGTACAATCATCTCGCAATCACAAATTGAGAATATTTTTTTGGGGGATGATCCCTTTGGGGTAGTTCAAGGACATGAAAGGGAGAATCGGAATTTGAGTGAAATTGATGCGGTAAACACTCAGGCTATGTGTCTTGAGTCTGATGCTGTTCATGTTGAGGATGATCCTAGTAGGGATTCGGATTTTTAGATTTCACGATTTTGTCTCTATTCCATGTTGATCCCCTTTATGTCAATATTTAGACCAATTGAATTTATTTTAGTTATATCCTAAGTTGATTAAATTATTTAGTTTATAGTTGAGGAAATAGTTAATTAGTTGGTGGAAATTTTTGTTTTTTTTACTTATTATTCTAAATATTATTTATTTAATGGTTAATGGTAATTAGTGTTATTCGTGTGAAGTATTTGCTTGAATTATTGATTTGTTGCTTACGCACGAATTGGCAGGTTATAATTATACAATGCGCTCAAAAAAGTTACAGTATGGCAATTGGAATGCACAAATAAGAAAACGGAGGTGGAGGCAATGCTTTCTGCATACCGTTTGGATCTTCTGGCTGTCTCGGAAACTTGGCTGTCGGATCGTGTTTCTGATTGGTTGATCTATGATTATTATACTTATCGCTGTGATAGGGCTGGTAATAATTTGGGTGGTGGTGCAATTATTCTGGCGAAAAGAAACCTCATAATCACGCCAATACAACTGAGTGGAAGATATAGGGATATTATTGATGTGGTAGCAATTCGTGTCCGGACTGAGGTGGGAAATGTTGTCTTTGTGTCGATTTATGCCCCTCCTGGTGTTGACATTCCTCTAGATTACTGTCATGAAGTGATGCAGGACATAAATCCAGCTAATTTGATAATTATATGTGGGAATTTCAATGCTCATGCAATGTCCTGGGGTGCCAGAAATGACTCGCCTAGGGGGCTGCATTTGTTGGAAATAATGGACACCTGTGGAATGGTTGTACTGAATGACTCAACTCCCACATTTGGGGATACTTCGAGTAGATATCGAAATAACTTGGACCTAGTTCTTGTATCGGCGCAGTTGGCATGTTTCTCAAG